AAAAAACAAAATCTGCACAATTATTCAATAGAATCACTGGAAAACTATAGAGTTTTCCAGCGACAGCGCTGGGATTTTCTATGAATTTTTTGACCTACGTGTCAATGATAAATATGTCGAGAAACGGGAATAGACTTTTAGATCATTAGATTCTGCATTCATTATACTATTGATTATAATATGTTCGATTTTACATTCCTGACAATTATTACAAAATGCGAGGAGCTACCGTTTTGAGAACCCTTTTCCGGTTATCGACAAATTTATACTTGGGCCCTACCATACCAACAGTTCCGTACGCTCCATCGTAGTCCATGCGCCACCGCTCGCAATTTTGTTGTTCAACACTTTACATTGGCCCTGCTGATCTCCCCTATAATCTCTGCATTCATCCGATTCGATTGCTGATGATTAGAAATAAGTATGCAATCAGCAGGTTAGTAGAACATTTTAATCATTACAAAAATATTTGGATGGATATACGTATTATAGATATGAGCACTCCCAATTTTTGGTGATAGACATTGGAGCACCCACTAAATCAACAGTCAACCTCATAACACTTTTCGTCGGTCTTGATGGAGCACCAGCTGACACACAATGTTTATTATGCAATTCTACTTTTATTCTCCCAACAAATAAGGAACAATTTTTGAAGCACTTATTCGAACGACATCGATTAATTATTGGAGATGTATTGAAAATTGCCAGTCTTAGGAGGTACTTCTTAGTGATTCGAATAATATCATTGAGAAAATTGACGGGGTAAAGAAATGTTATGGATTTTTTTTCCAGCTATGTTAATCATTGGAGAGTGAAGTTCAGTGAAGCAACATTAACAGAATTCTGTACTACTTTGTTAATGAACTGCACTCCAGATGGTAAACCGAGCAAGAATGAAGTTTATTTTTTACTTTCTGATTGCCTGCCGGAAGAGAAAGCACTCAGGGATGAAATACACCGGTCTAGATTGGTAATTCTTTCGGTTTTTAATTTTTTAGCATTGGGAAATTAGATGTTTGAGAAGAAACGGATCATCGATGATCCAGTTCTTAAGGTTAAGGAAATGGCTATTTCACCATAGACAGTCAATTTTTACCAGTATTGAAAATTAGAAAATAAAAAGTCACTGGCGTTTTTCTTGCTAAACTCCAATACCAGAATGTATTCTGACTCAATTTTCCATTCAAGAAATTGAGTCATGGAATGTGACAATTAAATTATCAGATATTTCCTGACGGTTTCGTTGCTTACAAATGAGAGTATCCAGTAAGTTAAAATTCTCGAGTGCTTGCTTAGTTCTGTACTCTTGTTAGAATACTGGGCTATTACTGAAAATTATCCACATGAAACCATGTTATGCCACTGTATGCATCGATTCCATTGGTCGAGATTCTGAGGGAGTGAATAATTAAAATAAAACTGATGTGAAGTCGTCACGTGGCCACGAATACCCCACTCTGGTCAAAAGTCATAATGGAGGAAACTATCATCGTGCATTTTCCGCGACATTTTAATAACTTCCTCATGCGCTAAAGAGTTTTACTATTCTCTATTAATTTACTTAGATCTTATTGAATGATACATGTTCTGTTCTAGGAATTAGGATTAGCCCAACAAACGCATGAAAGAAACGACATGGATTTTCAACGCAGGTGTATGTTCTGTAAAACGGAATTTTCTGGATTACGTTCCAATTATTTGAAACATCTTTCAGATAAGCACAATCTTCAATTAGGAAATGTGGAAAATTTGGTATTTGTTGATGAGCTGTTAGATAAACTTCAAAATAATATTGAGAAGTAAGATAGTTCCTTTCTACATATCACGAGTAAAATTATGAAAGGACAAAACAAATGTTCAGGGTATTTTCCAAATATCTGTGAACCGGACGATCCTCAGATATTGGCAAACTGAGCTGAATGAGTTTTTATATATTCATCCTCTTTCACGATTTTGATGCAAATATAATGATGTCGTCTCATTATATTACCAAAATTTGACCACTGGAATTCATTCTTTTCAGATTAACATGTTTCTACTGTGAGAAATCATTCAAGGACCGTACAGTATTAAAAGAGCATATGCGAAAAAAATTTCATAAGCGAATAAATCCATATAATAAATCATACGACCGATTCTACATTATAAACTATTTGGAGTCAAACGACAGCGGCCGACGGCAGCAAGTATGTCAATTACATTTCTTTTCTTGTTTGTTTTCCTCCTAAAAACGTGAAAGTCATTACATAAGATCAGTGATAGACAATTTCGCAATTAAAGCTGAAGGAGATCAATGAAGTGGAGTTTACAGGATTCAGTACTGGCCATCAGGATGCAGAAAATAGCTGGGCCGATTGGAAGGAGAAGAATGTTGTTACCTGTCTCTTTTGTTCTAATAAAAATGAGGAATTTTCAGAGATTTTGGAGCACATGAAATTCGAGCATAACTTCGACTTCAGGGATAAAACTAGAAGCTTGAATTTTTATTGCAAAGTATGCATCGAATAATTTTTATAATTTTCATTCGTAATAGTAACTTTCTGTTTTTATATTCATTTTCGCAGGTCAAAGTGGTGAATTATCTAAGAAAGCAAAGTCATGAAAAAAAATGCATTTATTGTGACTCATTTTATGACGACGTTGCTGAACACATGAGGAAGGAGAATCATGAAAATTTACCAGCTGCTCATGTCTGGAATCAGCCGGAGTAAGACAATGATATAACATCTTCTTCTTCTTCTTACATGTCATAAATCCGTTGAATTTGTTTGTTCCGACCATGCTCGCAATTCACGCAAAAATCGATAAATGGCTTTCAATGGGATTTTCACACTTATTGAGCTTACGGATCAAGTTTTAACATAAACTACAAATCATTGCGTTAATAGGTAATGGTACCCCCTGAAAAATCGAAGTAGAGCCCCCCTCCACCAATCGATAGTTGACATTAAGGTCCGGATGGAAATTTCAGGAGAGGAATTTTACGCGCTTAAGGTACGATAAAATCCTTATTTTTTATCCATCGCTGGGGGGAGTTGAGCGTTCCTTAGATCTAGTTTTGCAACGCTTTTCAGTTTCAAATGTTCCGATATGTCGGATGTATTGAAACATAAGAAGTAATGAACTTCCGTCAGGGAAATTCATATCTTCTTTATTTGTAGCAATGTTTCTCTCCCGTTTCATTACTACTGCAACAGTTGATATTGTTACAAACGAGATAGAAACAGCCGAAGAACAAGAAATTGTTGTTGCTAATCGTGCTCGGAATGAACATGCGAGACTTCTTTTTGATCCAGTGAAAACACTCATTGATGGCGATTTTCGAGGAAAATTCAGATATTTAATGTCATTTCGCCAATGTAATGAGAAAACTTGTTGACAATCACAATCAATTTAAAGATGAGCATCAGACATTTAGCCATTATTGAATAATGAAGGATTTGCGCCAAATATTCCTAAACGAATTCACGTATGAATATGATCATATATGAGAATTTTTGTCAATGATAAGCAAAAATAAGACTTTTCTGCTTAAATGTCAACTCAAGGCTCGGGTGGATTATCTTTCGAACGTTATCTCGATTGTTCTTTCATCTTCATAATGTAAAATATATCATAGATTTCCATTGGATTTTACATTACGTAAGAGTCCCTAAAAATTATGATTGTACAATCAAAAAAAGTAGGAAAAAAAACTTAACATTGTCAAAGAACGTTTTTAATAAAGATTAAGAAATAAGTCCGATAGAGAGGAAATAGTGAATGGATAATTTATCATGGTAACTAACGATCTAACAGCCATTGACTACTGTGACAAATGACGACCTAACAACCATTAGATACATCAAATTATTAATTTGCAATTTCCTCACTATTGGATTTATTTCCCAATATTATTCAAAAACGCTCTTTGAAAATGTTCAGTTTTTTTTGTAGGCTTTTTTGATTGTACAATCATAATTTTTGGAGACTCCAGGGCTATGTAAAACTGAATAGCAATTGGGAATTATTTCAAATTATCAAAATAAAACAAAAACAACCAAAATCGGTATCCGGTTAATTCATCCCAGATGACGTGGAAAAATATTAAATACTTCAATATTTAGTATTTTCAGTACTATTAAATACAAAATAGTCAATTATTTAGTACTTAGCTCTCCTCTAAATACTAAATACTTATTCAGCGACGGCGGTGACTGTATGGTTAGAGCGCGGGCTTGGCACGCAGACGACTCGGCTTCGATTCCGTGCGGAGNGGGGGGGGGGGGATAACATTCAAAATTATATAAGGACTAGCGCCGCCGCGGCCGCCAGTCAAAATCATATAAGGACTAGCGCCGCCGCGGCCGCGACAATGATCCCTTTTATTATGCTTTTTTCTCTTTTTTTTTCGTTTTTATTTTTTTTTTCAAAAATTAATCATCCACCAGCGTTCTTATCGTACTAAATATTAAGAGTAATAAAAACAATGCATCTCGATTCATCACCTGCTTAATTTCAATATTTCAATAACTGATTCCCTTCTTCTGAATTTCTGTGCTCACAGAATAAGATGTGATAGATTTTTTATTTTAATTGTAATTAAAATTGGAATTGTATTCAGAGTGTGAATTATCATGAGATTTCATATAGCTCAGAATTTTCCACTTACATTCTCCTTTACTCCCCTATAAAAGCATTCAATTATTTTTCTGGGAAAATTATGTTACCAAATGTGATGCCTTTTTACTAATTCGGAGTATCTTCTCCTTACTCATGATCTTTTGCATAATTCCATTCAAAGATTCCATCACTTATAAACTTTGGTAAATTATCTTAAATTTTCTCAAACTTCACACAAGATTCTGAAATCTTATAAATTTTTTTATGTAACTCAATGCTTTTGTAAAATTGTTGGGAAAATTGGACGAATTTCTCGTTTTTCAAAATTATTTTTTCCTCTCTCACTTCAACCAATCAGAGTCCAGTCACGACGTTGATGTCCTTTCAATATCTCGTTTCTCCTTTTTTTTCATTTGTTTCAAAATTAATTATTCATCGTCGTTCTTATTGTACTGAGTGTTAAGATTAATGACAACGATGCATTTCGGTTCATTACCTGTTCACTTCCAATATTTCACTAAGCGATTCACTAATTTTGAATTTCTGTGCTCACTGAATAAGATTTTTATCATAATTATGAACGATATTCTATTCAGAGTACAAAACAATAATCATAAAATTTCTCATAATCCAAGTTTTTCAGCCTCTGCCTCCTCTTTCATTCCTCTTTACACCGCTACTATAGCATTCAATTATTTATCTGGGAAAATGATATAAACAATTCTGATGCTCTTTTGTTAATTCAGAGTATCTTCTCCTCATTCTTGATCTTTTTCATAATTTTATTCGAGCATTCCATGAACTTGAAACTTTTATGAATCATTTGAAATTTTTCAAACTTTTCATAACATTCAGCATTTTTTGTGAATATTTTTTCAACTTGAAAATGTTGTAAAATTGTTGAAAAAAATCCGAGAAATTTCTCAGATGTTCTACATTATTTTCTCTGTTCTCATTCCTAACCAATCAGAGTGCAGTTTTCCCGTGACATATTCACATCAGGTTTATTTGGAAAATTCCACCGTCGCATATTATTTATTTTCCCATTGTTTATTCAAAAATTTGGGAATATTTGAGAGATACCGACAATTTCCTCCAATTTTTGAAAAACCCGCAGAAAACGTTATAATTGTGTTAAATTCGTTGGAAAACTTCCAAATAATCCGGAATTTTGAAAAGAGACCGACAATTTTATGATTTTTTAGGAAACCTGCTAACTTTCTTCAAGTTTCTATAATTCATTCCCTATTTACCCTCTTAAAAGATTTTGAAGAAAAGCTGAAACACATTTATTGATTTCTAAAAATCTTCTTATAATACGTCACATCAGGAATACAATTCCTCTAAAATTTTCATATTCCTAGGAGTCCGTAAGTTGAGGGGGTTGTTGCATATATTTTAGGTATAGAACATTTTTTTCCGGGCTTCTCTGTTTTTCGACCCGTTGATTCTAAATATCGAGGTCCCAAAGGTGAATTCCTGTGAGTTTTTTTGTTACTAACAAATTATTGATAAACAATTGAAAACTCAACTTTTCCGGCCAGAAAAAGAAAATTCCTATCGAATACGCGTGATTTCAAAGAAAGTAAGTTCTTAAACATTTTTCCGTATTTGCAACGGGTTTGTCAATAAAAATTCATAAACAAATGATTTTCTAATGTATTTTCTGTTTTGTTTACTGAAAATATTAACTGATTTTTTTTTCGCGTTTCACGTAGTTCCATAAGTTCTTCATAGGTAGGTGAATGATTCATAAAGAAATCTTCGTATACACTGGATTTACTATTATTTCTTAAGAATTTATTCAAATAAAAGACAAAAAATGTCGATTTTCAATGGCAATTTTTTTTTTAATATTCAAGATATTTCAAGGAAGGTTAGTCCTTATGATTTTTTCTCTCAACTCAACCGTTTATTAAATAAAAAATGATAAACAGTGACGAACGAACTTATTTATCATTTTTCATTTCACAAACGGTCGAGTTGAGCGCAAAAATCATAAGTACTTATCTTTATCAAAATGTTTGGAATATTCGGAAAAAAAATTTCCCCTATAAAAATCGGTATTTTTTGTTTAAACAAATTTTGAAGAAACTAATCAGGTGTATGCGAAGTAAATTTCGTTTTGAATCACTCACGTATTATATGAAGAGTCTATGCAACTACATGAAATGCGAAAAAAATTCAGTCAACATCTTCAGTAAACAATATCGAAAATCCTTTAAAAAATCATTTGTTTATGAATTTTTATTGATAAAACGATTGATTGAAGGAGAATTAGAGGGATTGCAAATACGGAAAAAAGTTTGAGGACTTACCCCCTTTGAGATCACGGGTGTTCTATAGAAAAGAAATTCCTGGTCGGAAAAGTTGAGTTTTCAATTGTTTATTAATAGTTTGCTAATAACAAAAAAACTCATAGTAATTCGGCACGGGAACCTTCACATTCGGTTTCAGCGGGTCAAAACAAAATAGAATTCAGTAGAAAAATTTTCTCGACCTAAAATGTATACAAACCCCTCTCCCCTTCGCCCCTCCCAAGCACATAGATTATAGTTTCCATAGTTTCGGCTTTGCATTACTATCTCAGTCAAGCTGCAGGGACTCCCTTTGCATATTTATAATACACGACATATACATGAATTTCCAATTAGAAATAGGTTTTGAAATTCGCGTCCATTTCCCTAGCAATGCCATCTGTCAGTGATCTTATCAAAGCTTGTTCTCATTCGAGTTCGACCTCTGGAAAATCGATTCTCATTCGATTTCGATTCGAGTTCCATTCGAGACTCTCGTTCGTTCTCCTTTATATATACTAGGTCCATAACGCGTTTGAAGCAAATACGTGACGGAGGTTTCGAGTTTATCTTGTTATCAACACACCGGAGAGTTTTCCTTTGCTGGCGGAATAATCAATTTGTATCGATGAATGTGGTGATTTATTGAAGAAATTGATGATATTGATGGGATAATTATGATGATGATGTTGATGATAATAATAATGATGATGGTGATGATTTGTCGATGAGGAAGATAACTTTGATTTTTTTATTTTATGAATTGTTTATGATTTGATGACATACTAATTGATAAAATGAATGATAAATTGGAAATGATGGAAATATTGTGATGTATGCCCATGAAAGTTTTATATGAGTGAGATCAAGTTACAGAGATTTTAATTGGTTTTGAATGTACGAGAATTTCAATTGAATTTGAATTTGTACGAGACAAATCTACTGAATCGAGACAAATTTACTCAGTCGAGTTACTTGAGAGTGCAGCTGACTTCCGGTGATAGCATGAAATTTCCAGATAACTCTAATTCAAACATTGCAGTTATTAATAATAATCCACCAGGAAGAAAACGAAATGGCACTGCAGTATTAATAATAAAAACCTCTTAATTTTAACACACTTCAATTCTTAATTTTAACACAATTTTCTCCTCTTTATTCATTAAAATACACATCGATATTTCTTCTCTCCCATAATATTCTCACACTCCTATAATAATATTCTCAGATCTATAACGCGCGCGGTTGCGCGCGTTCACGAACAATTGGCGCTTTAGTGCTGAGGGCCAGTTTTTGGATTAGGAAACCACGGTTAGACCTCGGTTAAAGTTAAGTGAATCGTGGCGCTATTGACTGGATCGTGCATTTTATGCACAAGGCAAAAATCTTCGAGCTCAAAGCCCTGAAGAGCTCTCTTCGTATCAAGAGTACATGAATAAGAAATTCCGTGAAATCATTGATTTGTTTTCTGAGTTCGTGTTTTTCAATAATTGAATAATCATTCATTACTCGAGATGAAAATCAAAGAGTTATTGTTTTCTGTCCATATCGACAGCTTAATAACACAGTCATGTAACTACAAAAAACCATCATTTCCAGAAGTAAAGTGACGTATTTCCAAAAAATGCGCTATTTATGCTCAGTATTGGAAAAATCA